TCAGACTGCTAAGTTGGCAGGAGCTGGGATAAGTAACGGGAGCTCACTCCGTTATGCAGCGCTAGGGATTCGAACCACTGAACTGCTGACCTTTCTGATCGACAAGCTCAGCATCTCAGCCACTGAGCCACTGCGTCCCCTTTTTCTCTGCCTTTGTGACGAGGTCCTCTGCTTTTATGACTACCAAATAAGATTCAGAAGCTTTCATTTATTTAGATAGAAACTATAGAAAACATGAGAGAAAAAAAGGTAGTTTGAAGGAAGAAAGTGAAAAGCAAAAAGAGGTTAACAAAAACAAGTTAGGTACACGAATTGCAATAATCTGCACAAATTCAACATTATGGGAGATAATTCTCTCTGGATGTATCTGCCTTGCATTCCTACAGGAAGGTCAACATGTTTGAAGTTACATGCACCATCTCTGTCTGAATGATTGATTCTGGGCCAGCACGAATGATGTAAAAACATGGTTAACCTGGTTTACCACGAATTAATCCTTTTCTCTGGAATTGCACAACAAAACTGCAGCTGTTAGGTTTCCAAATGGGCTGGTTAAGCATACCGCACGGCCATAGCAGAGAGTTAACCAAGATTTGATCCTCTTAAAAGCACATTAAGTCTTAAGACTGGATAATCTGAAGTTTCTATTAGTCACTGGCAGTATGAGTACATCACATACCCAGGTGCTTTACCAAGAACATCTGAAGAGGTTTGAAAATGTGTTCATTTGAATATGCTTATAAAGCTGTAGTGATTCTGAAGCTTAATGTGTGAGTTTAAAATATCACTTCCTCCATTAGCATATGCCAAGCACAGTTCTATTGCAGGTGTGTATGTCATTTTGTTTGCCTTGAAATCACCAATCCAGGCATTATACATGGGAGGTATTTCCATTAATCTCTCAAAAGAAGCATAACAATATTCAACAATTCAATGTCACAGTTAGACCTAAGAAAACAAATGGCACTGGCAGCGGAGAATTAATGAGCTACTCTTCCATTTGGTGACAACAATATTGCTCCGAGAAGGACAGAAATGCTCCCTATTAATAAATGGCAATGTAGAATGTTTGCCTTTAAAAAAAAACACAGTTGCAGTCATTTTTCCTCATTTTTTTCTCACTAGGCTTGTTTCATTAACTGGCAGTCCTTAGTTTACAATCACAATTGGTCCCATAATTTTTATGGCTAAGCAAAAAGGTTTGATAAGTGAGTCATGGCCAATTTTATGAAATTTTCCCATGGTTGTTAAGTGAATTGCTGAAGTTGTAAAATCAACCATATGGTTGTTAAGTGAATCCATTGAGTTTTCTTGCTGGAATCTCACCAAGGAGATCATAAATGGTTACCGCCCCAGGATGCTACAACCATTGTAAACACATGTTGCTTCCTGAACCCAGACTTTGATTATATGATTATGGGAATGCTGTGATATTCTTAGTGCAAGGATTATTTGCAAGTCACTTCTTAAATTGCCATTGTAACATCAAACCATCACTAAATGAATGGTTGTAAGTTGAAGACTATCTGTAATTAGGGCACCTTGAATATAGCTTGTCTTTTCTAGTTTTTTGTTTGTTGTCAAGCTGTATGTTGGCTTAGAAAGTGTTCTCTAGATTACAGACCCTTGGCTTACAATGTAAGAATATTTTGGAGTGAAATTGAGCTTCACGTATGGCAGCCTGCCCCAAAAATGCCAATCTTGCATGAAAATAAATATGGTACTTTGGATATTTTTATAGACATTTTACTAGTAATCTGAATAGGGAAGTGGCTATTATAGTACAATCTACAAAACTTGGCTTTCTTCTCAGTCCCTTTGTGTGTGTGTGAAATTTCACAAGATGAATGACTTCCATAGACTCATTCTTGAAAACCAGCTAAATTGCCATAAGATCGTAATGAATTTGGTCTCATGACTTTTGCATTTTTGACCTGCATTTTTGACCTGCATTTTTTAAAAAAACATAAATTGATAGTGGAATCTTGCAGTAATCATGGAATATGACTTAGCAGAGGACTGTATAAAACACAAACAAAAGATAGGCATAATCCCTCTCTTCTAACATAGCTTGTTGCTTAAATTCCATTACTGTCAAAATAATAGATGAGACACAATATTTCACAGTACTTTGACAGCTAATGAAACCAATATTGTTGTCAGTGGCAATTCAGGCAACAGGAAAACTGATTCATAGTTCTAGCAACTTTTCTGATCAAATATCTGCTAGATTTCTTTAAAGCTCTTCTTTTTATGTGACTTTCACTTTCCAGCAAGTTTTGCATATGATTTGGGCACACGTGGCACATTTAAATACAGGGTCTATGCTAAATATAGTTTCCTGGGCATCCTAGAAAATTTCTAAAAACCTGTGTTTTAAGATACTGCTGAAAATAATTGTAGATGGATACTACTACTATTCAGTTTATATTCAGCCAAAAAAAGAATTTAGAAATTTAGAAATTCTATCTGAAGGAGGATGGAATTTTGATGACATTCTCATTACAGTATTGTGTTCTTCCTTTATTTAGTTACAAGATAGCCGAGGGATCTGTACAAAATAAATCTTGTTTTTAATTGAGTTCACGAAAGCCTCTTCAGTGGCTTTCCAGCCTCCCTGGCTTTCTACACTATCTTCAGTCCCATCATAAGAAATCTCCCCCAACTGGGCTTTTTCATTAAGGAAAAAGAAATCCCACCCTCATTATTACAATGCTCCCTTTTCTCATGCTTGAAAAGATCTTATTTTAGTTGATGGAAATGTGAAAGAAACACAACATTTAATCTCACAGTGCTGGATTCATTTCACTGCCTTGTTCACACTGAGATTTCCAATACACTTTCCTTCCAGCATGAATAGCAACAGGCAATGCAGGAGAAGACTTCCACAGCCTGGGATATAAAACATTAGCTTGATCCTAATCTTTACAAATATTTATGGGCTGTTAAAAATGTCGGAATGAAGAACGGGAACCTTCTTTCATTGATTTTAGTGGTTCTGAACAGAGAAGCCACCAACAATTATCTTTGATGCAAAAATGGAAGGAAGCCAGGATTTGCATTCATGACCTGGACCCATCTCACAGGATTTCTTTAGTCTAATACCTGGTGACATGTATTTGTTCTTACTGTAGTGTTCTCTATCTATAGAGGCTATGTTAAAATATAATAACATTTTTCTGGGTTGGCTTCATGAATGCAATTCCCATCTGGGAATTATATGTATGAAATATGTGCACATACTGTATACTCTTAGGAAGTAGTTATTTGGAAATATGGAAAACTTGGAGAAGATTGTTGTTAAGAACTAACTCTCCCCCCCCCCAAAAAAGGGGGATTTATGTCAGAAACAGAATAGGTGCCCACACCTATTTCCCACTGTCCTTCAACCGTTGCTTGATTTACCCACTATCTACAGTGTGACTGCTACTGATTTGCCTCTGAGACAATACAGGCTTTGACAAACAAAAAAAGTACATTAAAGATTTATCAAATAAAGCACAACTGACTGAACTTCCATAATACACAAAGCTATAAACCATGTTTTACAAAACGTAATGGCTGGGTATGCACAGCATGCTGTCTCTCCACTAAAGAAAGCATGTGATTGATACCTCCTGAAATTATAGATAGGATTTTTTCCCATTCCTATCAAGCGTGGCATCAAGGCTGACAACACTGAAATAATATTCAACATTTAAAATCATTCTAAGCATGTTATTTGTCAGTGAGCCACAGCATTTCCAGTACAGAGATTGTATCTAGGATTTTCTGAATATTGACTTTTGTCAATGACTTGTGGCCAAACTCTTGTTCTACTATTAATAGTTGCTTTTTCTGGTTCATTACCTCCCCAAATGAGGCACTGTGGCTCAGTGGCTTAATGATGCTAGAGATGGTATTCATTCCAGAGGTTTGAGTCCTAGCACTGTGTGATGGGATGAGCTCCCATCACTCACCTCCCCTAGCAGTTTGAAAGTATATTCTATGCAAGTAAATAAATAGGTACCACTTTGGTGAGAGGGACGAGCTAGGTGCTTTTTGCAGATGGTTAGAATCCTACTGGTGCTGGACCTTCCCAGTTGAAATGCCTATTTGCGAGGTGGCTTTGGTGGAAGGAGAGGACCTCAGATGATATAGCAGGAAAGTCAGTAGTCTTTCTTTCTGGTGTGGAATTAGCTTGCCTCCTTTGGTGCAACTTGGGAAGTGTGTGAGCATGAACCAAACAGGGTTAGCAGTCTTAGGCAGGCAAACCACTACTCTGCATTAGCATTGTGATCTCCTGGCTAATGTAAAATGGCCCTTTGCTAAATAAATAATAATAACTCCCCTGAACAATGAAATGTTTCTTTCAGTGATCTCAGGAATCAGCACTAGATACAACTGAAGCAGAGGTGACATTCAACCGGTTCGCACTGGTTTGGGTGAATCGGTAGTGGTTATTTGGCGTGGGTCACCGAACCGGTGGCAACTCTTGGCTGGCCACACCCCTGACCCGGTCGCCAGGTTGCCTTAGTCACTCTCCTAGCTTTCCCTACCATATGGCAGCCATGGCACAGCTCGGGCAGATGTCCCAGGGCAGTGTGCAGCCACTACATATGCAGTGCGAATGTGCAGCAGTCCCAGGACATCCACCTGCCTGCCTGCCCTCCTGGAGCACGTTTTCTTCCTTCTCCCAGCGGACGCGCCTCTTACAGCCTGGCCTGGCCTGGCGTAGCCAGCAGGTGGGTGAGAGGATATACCAGGGGTCCTCGCCGCCTTGTCGCAAGATGCCTGCAGCTGCTGCGTGCTTCTTTTGATGCGGCTGCAGTCCAGCAGTCACACTGAAAAAAGCATGCCCTGTTCAAATTGCTGGCCCTGGCAAGTCCAAGCAGCCGACGCATAGAACAGGGTGGCACCAAACCATTGGAAAAGTAGAGCGAAGCTGGAGATTAGTAGCCACCTCTTTCGCAGCACAGAAACCCTCCCCAAATCGGCCGTCTGGTCTTCTCTTTCTCTGACTGTTTGTTTTGTATGGCTGAGGAGGAGGAGATCAGCTGGCCAAAGGGGCGGCTGCTGGAGGCGACTCTTTTTTGGTCTCCAGTCACCTTTTCAGCACAGAAATCCTCCCCGAATCGGCTGGCTGGTTGTCTCCTCCTCGGCCATACAGAACGAATAGGCAGAGAAGGAGACGACCAGCTGGCCAATTCCCGGAGGATTTCTGTGTCACGAAAGGTGACTGGAAACTAAAAAAAAGTCACCTCTAGCAGTCGGCTGATTTCTTCCTTTCATCCCCCTGGACTGCCGCCACCCACATCCTCCTTCTCCCAGGAGGAAAGGAAGAAAGGTACAGGTGCAGCATACTCTGGGATCCCGGGTGCCTCCCGTATCAGTGCCCGCTGCAGTAGTGCCTCTTCCACCCTCCCGACCAGGTGTGTGTGTGTGTGTGTGTGTGTGTGTGTGTGTAAGAGAGAGAGAGAGAGAGAAAGAAAGAAAGAGGAAGGGAGATAAAGAAAGAGCATGCAAGAAAGAAAGAAATAGAGAAAAGAGAAAGAAAGAAAGAAAGAAAGAAAGAAAGAAAGAAAGAAAGAAAGAAAGAAAGAAAGAAAGAAAGAAAGAAAGAAAGAAAGAAAGAAAGAAAGAAAGAAAGAAAGAAAGAAAGAAAGAAAGAAAGAAAGAAAAAGAAATAGGAAGGAGCGGGGGAGAGAGGAAAAAAACTATGTGCTATTATTTTTAATTGACAAGGAATGGCTGGGAGGGGAGGGGCCAGGTGAGGCACCCCTTGATGTGAGTGACATTGAATTGGCCACACCCACCCAGTCACATAGCCACCAAGCATGGCCACCCCAGTCACATGACCAAGCCATGCCCACCACAGTCACATGACCAAGCCATGCCCACCAAATAAGCCACACCCACAGAATCAGTAGTAAAAAAAATTTGAACCCCACCACTGAACTGAAGCCTTCTGTTCTGTACTTTTTATATTGGATCATTGCATTGCCTTATTGTATTCAAGCAATCTGTTTACCTTGAAATCACTTTATTTCAGAGTCAATGAAAAAAGGCAGTTCACACTTCTATATGCATACTGATTTTAAATTTATGATGTATGGCCATGCTTTATCGTGACCAGGGTGTCAAAGAGCCCACTAGACTGGTCTTCTAAATCTTGTTGTAAATATTTACATTTCTGTGTAGCCTTATTAAGCAAACACAGAAAAGTCACCCTTAAATCTGCAGACCCACCAAAAGCATAATATGGAAATTAGGATAAGGCAGTGGTGGGATTCAGATATTGTTGCCACTGGTTCAGTGGGCATGGCTTGGTGGGTGCACTTTGTGAGTGTGCACACACTTTGCATGGACAGTGTGCCAAACATACACTTTGCACAAGCGCAGAGGCATTTTGCGCAGGTGCAGAGGTGTTTAACTCGCCTCCTGCAAGCCTACACGATGCCAGTTGCTTCAGCAGCTGCCACGCAGCACTCTTTCTGTGCCGTGCAAAGCAGCTGCACTTCAAATTCAGTGGATAAAAGTGAGTATGGGAGCCCAGGTGGGCAGGTGGGCCCAACAGCAGAGTGGTGGAGACAACTGGTTCGGTCTCCGCTGCTCATCGCTGCTACCGGCTCACCAGAACTGGGCCGAACCAGTAGAATACCACCACTGGGATAAGGGAATGGCCTTAGATTAATTTATATGTTCTGTTGACATAATGATGACAGTTAAAAGGTTAAAAGGTAAGATGTCATGATGATGAAAAAATTATGTCCGTCTTAATCCTTCAAATAGTTTGGTGCCAAACATGTTCCTCTAAAGATGAAAGCAAGAGAAAGGCTATCATTTTGTACTGAGCTACTAAATTGTTAATTTTACCACGTCATAGTAGTTGTGTATATATATATATTTATATACACACACACACACACACACACACACACACACACACACACACACAGTGTTTAATTGACTGTTCCCTACCCTCCTTAAGCTGGTCTATTTGATTTAAAGTTGGCATAAAACAAACACTTGAAGTATGTCTAAGATCATTGCATATTGTATATTGAAAATATGTAAATCGAAGGAAATATTAACAATTTTAGCTCCTCTGGGTTATAAAATAACATTTTCTAAATTTGGCTGCTTTGTAATTATGGACTTAATGCTCTAAAGTCTGTTCAAATTAGAAAAGAACAAAGAGTCCATATAATTAATGAACAATGAAATATGTGTTCAATGTTAAAGAAATAATTGGGAGAGGGGAAAACACTGAAGCATGGTCTGAGATCCAAAAAACCATGTGTCCAGGGACATGGAAATAAAGATGCCTTCCAAATTTAAGATTTTGTTTCCTAATGTAGTATGTGCAAAACCAAAACACAGACAACAACAAACAAATGACTTTAGAGAATTGTTATCTTGAGTAGCATGCCAGGAAAGAAGAAAGGGAAATAATGCATGCATTTTTGACTTCCACTTTGTTGTTGTTAGCAGTGAAGTTGTGTCCAACCCATCGCAACCCCATGGACAACATTCCTCCAGGCCTTCCTGTCCTCTATCATCTTCTGGAGTCCATTTAAGCTCATGCCGACTGCTTCAGGGACTCCATCCAGCCACCTCATTCTCTGTCGTCTTTTGCCCTCAGTCTTTCCCAGCCTTAGTCTCTTCTCCAGTGAGTCCTTCCTTCTCATTAGGTGGCCAAAGTATTTGAGTTTCATTTTCAGGATCTGGCCTTCTAAAGAGCAGTCAAGGTTGATCTCCTCTAGGACTGCACCTTGCAGTCCAAAGGACTCGCAGGAGTCTTCTCCAGCACCATAGTTCAAAGGCCTCAATTCTTTGGTGCTCAGCCTTCCTTGTGGTCCAACTTTCACAGCCATACAAAGACTTCCACTTTATGAAATGTTAATTTAATTCAGAAATTTAGCCAGGCATAACTTTTGGAAGCATGTTTCCTTGTAACTTCAGATACACTAATTCCATTCTTCAAACTGGACATCATTGCATCTAATTCAAGTAATGTGATGGCTACAGTTTTTAGTCCTAGCAATCCTCATATTTTCAGTTCATTTCAGGAGGAAAGAGGCCCATTAAAATATTTTTCCAATTATTAACATTTCCTGCAATGTCTAGACACTAGGATGCTAAAACACATTGTTTGTATGTCTGCTTTGTCTGGATAAATGAATATGCTTTCAGCAAAATATCTCAGGTTCTGCTTTCATCTACAATATAACCTTTATTTATCCTCCCACCTCCACTTCCACCCTCAATCCAAGAAAGGAAGAAAAGAGTTTCATTTAAGCCTTTGATTTTGCTGGACTTGGAGTCAACTTCCCATTCTTTGCTCCATGTCCTTTTTCTTAAGCTAGTGAGACAAGAACAAAAGTGAGCCAAATGAGGGGGTTGTTGTCATGAGCCTCAAACCGAAAAGCTTGGTTAACCAGCCCGTGTGCACTGTCATTTCATCTCTTCCCCACCAGTTCCAATTTCTGAAAACCAGAGCATGTGTTCAAGGTCACAGCATCTAAAGTGATGAAAAGGAGGCAGGATCAAGACAGGCAAGGTTAAAGGTATCAGGATATTAAATAGTGCTCTTCAGGAGATCTGGCTGCAGTACAAGCAGAAAGTGACTAATTATTTAACAATAAGAGAGCAAACAATACAGCAGAGAGGCTGCTGTTCTCCATTTCTTTAATATATTCGACTCACCACTCATTGTATTAGTCACCAGCTGAAGCCAAAAGAAGGGCACAACAAAGGTAGCTAAAGTCCAAGAAGCATGTACACTTCAGGTTTATTAGTAAAGAGTCCAGGTTATCTGAGGAACCATCTGAGAATTGGCCTGTCCCACTTGTGCTAGCACAATGGGCATGCTGCAAACAAAGAATACTGGCTGGTAGGGTCCAGGAGAAGAGCTTTTCTTCCATGGCTCCTACCCTCTGGAGAATTGTGACCCCCAAGGTGTGATCTATACCCATCCTTTTGGCTTTCAGCTTGAAAATCTGTCTCTGCCAACTGTTCTGGGGACCCGATAAGAACATGTCATACTGGAGCTGGTTAATGGACTGAAATATCTCCACCACCACTCCGTGTGCATGTTGCTCTCTTCCTTGCCATCTTCATTAATTTTAAGTCAATATTAACATTGATATTTATTATTTAAACATTTTAACAATTGATCTTCTTGCTTTTACTGGGTTGTAAGCTTCCCAGGGGAAGTGGTGGCTCAGTGGCTAAGACACTGAGCTTGTCGATAAGAAAGGTTGGCAGTTCGGCAGTTAGAATCCCTAGTGCCACGGAACAGAGGGAGCTCCCATTACTTGTTCCAGCTTCCGCCAATCTGGCAGTTCGAAAGCATGTAAAAATGCAAGTAGAAAAATAGGGACCCCTTTGGTGGGAAGGGAACAGCGTTCCGTGTGCCTTCAGCGTTTAGTCATCCTGGCCACATGACCACGGAGACGTCTTTGGTCATCGCTGGCTCTTCGGCTTTGTAATGGAAATGAGCGCTGCCCCCTAGAGCCAGAAACATGGTGAGAGTATGTGTGAGGAAAACATTTACCTTTATCTTTGAGCTGCCTAGAAACACCTTTCGCTGAGGTGAACGGTATATAAATTTATTAAAGTGAAATAATAAATAAAGAGGATGTTTCCATGACAATGAAAACAAATTGGGAATCACACACATTTGTTTCAGTATAACATTTTTAGACAACATTTTTAAATGTTTTGGCATCCACACTATAAACGATAATGCAAGAATGTTTCCAAAGATTAAAGTTTCTCCTCATATAGATTGTGTTACTCATGTCAGAATCCTATAGAGATTTAGATAGCAAGCACACTCCAGAACTCTGTGGTCCAATTCACTTTAATCAACCCTTCAAAATAGACTCTAAAGAGCTAATTCATCTGTCAGTTCCACCTGCTATGAACTTTTCTTCTCTCGTTACATTTTGAAATCAAACCTCTCTTGCCATCCTTATGAAACTTTCATTTTCTTAAGCATCAGTAAGTCATTTCAAAGCTCTTTATTCACTACAAAAGATAACACATTCTATATTTTCTCAATCAAACATGGACCCAAAATGAAGAAATACGATTGTCACCACTATTCGTGGTCGCAAAAAAAATGTTAAAAAGAGAAAGAGAACATAATTATTCAGACATCAAACCTCTACTTTTCCTTTATCTTTCATACAATATTATAGAATTGTTGAAAGCTTAGTCATGTTTATTCCTCTCCTAATAATCAAGGTAAGAGATTAAGAGTTTATTGACTCTGGCATCTTGTTTGAAAGTAGAGTATTTCTTGGTTTGGGCTGCATTATAATCAGATTTCTGGGAGAAATATAATAATTTGCATTCTTTCTCCTACATACTTAAAATGTGGAAGATGGTGTTGTCATGTCAAAAGAAAAATATCAGCAAATATGTCCAGTAATAAAGTAAACAAAACAAAGAAGTAAGAAAAAGGAGAATGGAAAGATATTCTTAATGATCCAGAAAATGAGCTGGAAAAACAGACATTTCTGTCTATGGAAGAAAAAGTTTATGTGGAATAATGAAGCTGATTTTGGCACACTTTTATACTCCATATGGTTGCTTGGGAATGGAAACAAAACTAGGGAAAACATTTATTCAATGTTGTTACGAATCATTTTCTTTTAGGCCATCCAAGGTGATTTATTTGTTAAAATTAAAAAAAAAATAGACAGAAGCTGGCCTAGGTGTATACTGGCAACTGATTTGGGCTGTTGATAGATCCTTTCCAAATATGTGTGGATTACATCATTATCGCCTTCAACCAGGACAAAAGGTTTTTATATGATTGCATGAGAAATGTAGAAAATACTCTCCTGCAATGCATTCTCAGGAGCTGATGCCATAACCTGTGCCAATTCATCCTTGTCTCTGTAAACAGGCTTTCTGGAACAAAATGGGGAAGGACTGTAGAGGTACCAATAAAGGGGAATATTTGTAGCTCAGGGTTGAAAAGAGGGATCCTCAGTGGCCTCTGAGTTGTTTTCTTATAGAAATTTATTGCCCTTTTAGGTTACCTCATCAGCAGGGGTGGGCTTCAAATCCAATTAGCAACCAGTTCTCTGCCCGAACTAGTGCGAACCGGTAGCAGCCTACCCTCTGCTTATCAATGCTAAAAGAGTAGGGTGTGTGGAGAGGAGGAGGAGGAGGAGGAAGACAGCTATGGGGTCCTTGATGATCTCTGAGCTTGGTTGTTTCCTTGCAGACATTTCATTACCCAAACTAGGTAACATCATCATTGCTACTTATGCACGCCCCCTTTAAAGACGTCTTAAGAATGGGGTGTGGTCCATGGTAGACAGTTTGAGATTGAACCTGTGAGGGGTTGAGGCTGTAACAACGGAGTCAGATAGAGCATTCCAGGTGTTGACCACTCTGATGCTGAAGTTGTATTTTCTGCAATCGAGGTTGGAGCAGTTTACCTTGAGTTTGTATCAATGATTTGCCAGTGTATTATTGTGGTTGAAGCTGAAGAGGTCATTGACAGGCAAGATATTGTAGCAGACAATTTTGTGTACTATGCTTAGATCGGACCGCAGGTGGCACAGTTCCAGATTGTCCAAGCCCAAAATTTCAAGCCTGGAGGAATAGGGAATTCTACTGTGAGTAGAGGAGTGGAGTACTCTTCTCGAGAAATACCTCTGAACTCGCTCAATCATGTCAATGACCTATATACAGTGTGGGTTCCAGGTGGACAAGCTGTATTAAAGAATTGGTCTGGAAAAGGTTTTGCATGCCTTAGTTAGCAATTCATTGTTCGATTTCAACTCTGTTATTCTGATATTTCACAAATCTACAAAAGGAAAGATGTTTCTAGCTTTGTAGAACATCTGATTAACAAGTTGGTTTAGATTTATTTCACTGTTCATTCTGACACAGTTGTTGAATTGCAAATCAAACTCTGATCTTCATTATTGGTTACTACTTGGTGAAACCTTGCCAGATATATTTGCTCCTTTGTCACATGTTTATTCTGGGAAGTATTTCAGGAGGAACTACCTCTTAATGAAGGGGTCCCATGTGGCTATGAATGAATGGAGCAAATTTACAGGAAAAATGCTTTTTATTTGTATTTTTTAAAATATTTCATTTCCATACTGATTTTCCTCACAGAATTGCTCAGAAGGCTTTACAGGACAACAGTGTTTAAACAATCTTAGACAACTTCAGCAATTATAAAAGCAACAATGATTACCAACATCAGAAGAAGAACAAAGTGAAGTTCATTTTTTTAAAAAAGCAGAGAAGCAAAATAGACTTATCCTAGAGTAGTATTTATCCCATAACTGTCTAAGTGAACAGCTGAACAGTGCACAACATGAAAGAAGACAGCATGGGGGCCGGTTGAACATCTCCCAGGAAAGCTCACCAGCACTTCATAGTTCTGAAAAAAACAAAACCAAATTGGATTGTTTGGAAGGTAGAACATGAATTTTAGTCAGGCGCTGTTGCTGCTAGCACTCATCTCACTGTGAGCCGATTGAGAGCAGACATTTGAATTCATTCTCAGACTGTTCCATGGCAAGCTTCTCTTACATCTATAACTTATCACCACATGGATTACTACCCTTGTAACTTTGTAGGCCCAAACATGGCTTGCAAAATGGAGAAAGAAGAAGGTTTTGTTGCAATCTGCACCTGCATGAGAGGAATCTGTGATTAAATTAGAGGGAAAAGTCATGAAAAGCAAGGAAGTGTTCCCATGGTCTATTCATGTGTTAATGTACTGCTATGCTTTAGAGGCACTGCAAGTGGAAGCTGACCTTTTCCCAGCAGGTTGCCTCACCTTCCAATAAGAAGCCAGGTATTAGTAATCTGCCATTGACCACAGCTCACTGGAGACAAACTCTGAAAAACATGCCAACTTGACAGTGACTACCTGCTAATACTGGGAGGGATGTTCCTAAAAGTCAACTTTGTACCTACTCAAGAGAACAGCCTCTGAAGACAGAGGAACATTTTGTCAAATATCAGTTTATCTGAACAGGATATGGGGAACACTTTCAACTGAACAAATTATCTATTGAAGTACAGTTTGTTTATTCACTTTCCCGATGTGTCTGCTGCCTCACCTCATCTCTCTTCGTTAACTCCACTAATTGTCAGGGGTCCTGACATACGCTGTTCTTAAAACAGTCTCTGGAAAAGCCTTCTGAAGCTATTCTGCTTCAAGGGAGAGTAGAGTTATGACTGAGAAACTCCATGTCCTTTACCATTTTGATTAGGGGGGAAATTCACAGCATTCCTTCTTGATCTTCAGGTACTGAACAGGTAGAATCTACCCAGAGCAAGCAGTTCCCAAAATTTTGAGGATCCAAGTCAATAAAATATTTACAGATCATAACCTGAACCTTGAATTGGAGCTGGAAGTCCATCAGTTAACCAATACAACTCACCCAAAACAGCGTTATCTCACCATGCCAGCTTTTACTGGTCAAGAGTTAGGCATCTATGTTAGTGTTAGCTGCAGCTTCTTTGAAAGCTTCTGGTTGAAATATAATTGTATTCTTGCAAGACAAACTGTCTGTCTGTTTAGTTACACTTGACATTTAAATGTGTACAGGAGATTGCACTTCAAAAACTAGGGGGCAATTCTGGAACTGAAAACAAATTTGATTTCATGTTATGTGTATTCAAATTCAAAATTTGAAATTAAGAGCTGCAGTCAAGGCTTTCGGGATCTCAAGTTGAGCTCCTCTGTGATAAGCCATGGTTTATTTTATCTATGGCTTGTCAAACAATTTATACTGATCTTGTTTATATTTAATAGTAAACTATCAATGATAATTTACAAGTCATAAAGGTTAAATTTCCATATCAGCTAAAAGGAACAATCCTCACAGTGATATATTATTGTTTTTTGGGGTACATCTGACATCTGGAAGGATGCTAAATTCTGGCACTGCCCACTATCAATCTCTTTACTAGCTTACACTGACAAATAATGAGACAGCTGCCATTTTTATTTTCCGTTATGCCTCTGGAGCTGTTAACAATTTTCTATCATCTTCTGGAACAGTGGCAACTTTAAATGTTCCTTGGTAAGTCCATAGTATCAACATTGGAATAGAAAATGTTGAACTGAAAGAGAGAGAAAAAGCTTGTTTATAAGGAAAGGATGAAAATCGACAAGCACGAAACATTAGCAGAAAAAAGTGAAGTATTGAAGTTGCTCACAACTCAATGTCAAACACCATAATACAGAAATAATTCCAAAAAGATTTTTAAAATGTTTATAATCTTGGAATAGAGATTCTGACTCATAATAATTATTGTTAAATAATATTATTAGGTCCTATTTCTTTGAATTTCTCTTCTGTCCTATGTGTCAGATGTCATTAGCCTTAGGTGTGCTGAGGTACATTTTTGAAAGT